GGTTAACTCGTTATATCGTGGCAGCTTAGCAGGGGTGCGGGCTAGCGGTGTGTGCCCGGGGTCCTCTTGTCGAGCTGGCTGTGGAGTCAGTGACTGGCTGGAGAATCGAGGGATGCTGGCACCATCTGGCCTGCATGGTGCCATCTTCTTCCGCCCAGGCTGCCCCCGGAGGTCCTCCAGTAGCAGGCTGCTTTCCAGTACTGCTCACTCTAACTCGCCTATGTCTCTCTCCATAGCGACTCCGCACATCCCACTTCTGACACCAAATGTAATGACCCCCGGCGTGGAGGAGAGAGACTAGCTACACTGGTACAGCTAAACTAGCTAGCAGGGCGCTAGCACCTATGCTGATCTTGGTTGGCGATTATTCCAGGCCCCATACACCGCACGACTCTGGATATCGCCTGGGCATGTCCTTTTACAGTGACCACAATGCAACACTGCTTTCTTTGTCATTTATTTAGAACTGCTGAACAATGGCACTTCCCCCAGGGTCAGTCTCACACATACAAGCCAAACTGACGATCCAAAACACAGCACAGCAATTAACTTAGTAAAACATCGTCAGATAACACACCAGCATAAGTCAGCAACACTAACACATAACAACAATGGGGTAACACATAAGAACACCTTAACTATATTAACTATAATTTTATAACTGCTCTCTCTACTATTTACTGAACTCCCATGATGCACCTTTGCATCATGCAGCTGCCACCAGACCCCCCAATGGCTGATGTGGATTGTCCCAATATTATTACCTTACAGGTTTGTGATTACATTATGATTGTATTGACAATGACATGAATGTGGCGGCATTTTAGTTGAATCAATTGTATTATATTATTATTGTATTATTTCCCTTGGGAAATGTCAGTACTGGTTAATCATTAGAAACAAGGGTCAAACCACACTGAGAAATTATTTAGTTATTGAAAAAAAATCGTTTTTTTTTTTTGTGCAGCACGGCACATTGTTCATTCAAAACTTGTCAGTTTACCAACAGCGCAAAAACATATTGGGGCTGGTTAAGATAGACAAGATGAGAAGGGGAAAGGCAGGAGTGAATTATACCAGAGATTAAAAGCGAGCAATCATCTGTTTGCAGTTTTCTGGTAGTGTGGTCTCAAGCATCTTACCACAATCGCCAACTGTCTGTCAGTACTATATGAACTGTTCTGTTGAAATTCACAGTGACTGTTAATGTCAAGAGGGAAAGTTGTTTACATGCACAACTTTATAAAAACAAGAGAGTACATTGTCATTTTTCTGTCTCTTGCTTGTCATTCTGTTCAAAACAAATACATCACTTTCCTACTCCTAAAGTGTTGCAGTCTGTAGACTTAATCATATCACATTACTCAGCTGCTTGCCTGGAGGAAGACTGCGCTTAACGCTGAAGGTGGAGCCAAGAAGTGCATAAAAGTTGATGAGGAATCATTCTCCATGCAGATTATAATTGCATAACTATCATTCCCATGTCCCTAAACAGCAAATAAGAAAAGTTGCACTGCACTTTTACCATCTTGTTAATTCTTTTTCAGATTGTGGCAAGGAAATGTGTTAGTGTGTGTGTGTAACTATGAGGGAGGAAGACAGCTTATTAGCTGCAGAGAGAGAATGACAGATGGGAAGGGACAGAGAGATACAGGGAGAACGAGAACAACAGATTTGTAGTGGCAGGCTGCTCAGTCGGAAGTTGTAAGATTGTTTAGCCTAAAACCTGCACCACAGTCATGGAAACCGGTTTAAACCAGAAGGGTTGTAAACTCTCTTTCAAGTCAAATATCACCCATTTCAGATGTGAATTTTCTCATTCTAATATGTAGAACTCTAGATATGTACTGTATGTAGAATCCCTCCTTTGCTGTTAGTGGTAGTAACATTTTCTGAAGCTTCATCAAAGCAGCATCCATAAGTTGTGAGTCAGAGGATTGGCAAATACTTCTTAGCAGCTTTTAGAGAGCTTACTATGTCAGTTTAGGTTGATTGTGATAAGTGTCAGTTATGTTGTCAGCTACAGGATATTAAACTTAGTGTCTAAAGACTAGCACATGATCCCAGGACTTTAACCTGAATTAGTCAGTTTCACACAAAATTTAAATGGAAGGGCCTCTGAAACTAATGGAAAACCACCACACAACACACAAATTCACAAATAAATCTAATAAGATGTGTTGATAGTTTTTTATAGTTTCCATATCAAGATAGAGGTGAGGGCTATTTGCAAATTGTGTCACACTAGGTCTGACCTTCATTGAATTGATTATTCTTAATTAACTGTTAATTTGTGTCAGTTTGTGAAGAAAGAATGTTTCATGCTTCTCTGTTACTTTAGGCAGAGTCTTTTGAAGTCTTAAGCTTTCTGATTGCTGATTAAGGTCCCATTGCTGCATTTCTTTTTTTTAATTTTAATTCTTTGAACTCTTGTCTGTCATTATGTCCAAATTAGAGAGATGTTGTAATTTTTACACTGATCTTTGTTGTCCTTCAAATGTACTCAGACCAGATTTTCTAAATCTTTTTTATTTATCTTATTCAGCCTTGGTAATCAGTGAATGCATACAGGAGCAATCCTTAATTTGCTATTCTGTGTTGTTATTTGTCAATAAATTTGATTCAGTTGATTTATATCTGTATGGACAGAGTATCACTTTCTATTATTACCTTCAGTTATTTCATATAGACAAGGGAAGTTTGGTTATATAGCACATGTTCAAACTCAAAGGTAATTCAGAGTGCTTAACACAATGCACATAAATAGATAAAACATTAGAATGCATATCTCAAATTAATCCCCAATAACTCCACCTTAAAACTGTCTTGATTAAGCAACTTTTATTAGCTGTTTATTTGTAGAGAGAGAGATCTGTTCAGTAAACTGAACTAACAACCAATTTTACAGCAGATACAAGAGAAAGCTGCTAAATCGAAACAATTATAACACCTCATGGGGTTTACTACAGTAGACCATCTAATATAATCAAGTGTCTTCTGCACCCGATGGGTAAGGAGTGACTTGGATTTGTTGTTGTTGTTCCTCTTTCGGCTACTCCCGCCGTCTGGGGCCGCTGCCCTCGCCATGCCCGGTTTGGCACAATTTTTTACGCAGGATGCTCCTCCTGGAGCCTCACTGACTCGAATTTAACGTGGTTATTTCCTACCTTTTCAACAGAAAGGCCTGGTCCCCTTAAGACTAGACTCGACCACGACTGTGTGGAATGACATGCAAATGTGTCAGATTTTCCCCTGACATGTTGTGCTCATTTTTACGGTGAACTGTCCACCTAATTGATTTGAGTCATTGCCTTATTTCTATTTATGTCCTGTTCCATCCCTGCATTTAGGCTACCAAATGTTTTTAAAGCATTCTTTCCAAATAATAGCCTATATGCCTGCTTATGTTGAAATTCATTAGTTGTTTGTAGCCTATTTCTTAGGAGTAAACATCAGAAGTTGTCCTCCGTCCACATTGGCCTATTAGAAGAGTGCAGCGGGCAGCCAATCGTAGGACTGACTGCTCAGCTTCACTAATCGAGGATTAGCTACAACCGCCTGCAGTCTACAGTTCTGGGAGGGTTGGGTAGTCACTGCCGTTCACTACTCACCATCTGTTATTATTAGCTCAGCTGATCCTGGAGCGGGGCTCTTTCTCAGCAGCAGCGACTTTTGCATTGCGCAACCAAGCAGCCTGCTCACACTGGGACCTCAGGTAAAGGTGTGGGAGTACAGCAGAGGAAAGCTCCTACTGTAGGCCAGGTAGGACCAAGTCGATGGCCCTTTAAATTAAATCCACACCGTGGTAACACCACGCACTGAAGCACTGCTCCGTTTTCCGCGACTCAATGTTCAAGACGGCCAATTACCTGACGGTGGATCCTGCGCCCACTATCATGCACGGTACTTGGTTTACCACGGGGTGCAGAGAAAGCACGCCGGCGGCGGCGGTGGAGAAACCTAAGAAAAAACCGTTCAGCCTGGTCAAAATAATGTCTCTCAGCAAAAGGAAAGGACGCGACCAGCAACCACATCTCAATAACAACATGCCCTTTACCATCCACTGTCACATCGGGAAAGAGATTAAGCACATTTGCAGCAATTGCAGCCGCGGGAACGATACACAGGACGGTGAGTAGGCTCCAGCCTTGTGTGGTTTCGTCCATAGTAGCCCTGCGGTAGTGCCATCCACGATATTCACTCAGAATATGTGGACATGGCCATGTCCCTGGCGCAATGCCTCTGGGCTCCTATGCGCATTTGACAAGCAGATCAGGCGCTCCATCATTGACTGTGCTTTGCATCTACTGTACTTAATCTGTCTGTTTGAGAGTTCTAGATAAGTAGGTCGATGTGTACCTTCAGTGTTAAAGTGATTCACTGTTGCTGTGTGGAAACTGCCTCTGGCTGGATCAGAACTTCTCATAGGGCTGGGCTCAGACTTGCTGGTTTGAATTACTCTTCATTTGTAGAATGTTGGTTTGAGTAGTCTATCTCGTATGTTAATCTACAGATATCATTAAAATGCATGAAAGTGTACAGGCTGTTTGCGCAAAGCCATTTTCAGTTCAGTGTAATTACATCATCACTCAGCCATCTTGGTATATAAACAAATGTTTTTAATTAAAACCAGTCACATCAGTGGTTTGTATTAGAGTAGTGGAGAATATGGGTTCTACTATATGCAACATGATGAAGATGAGATAGAAACAGTGTGCCTGCTTTGTCAAGATTGTAATTAATTGCATCATCATGCACTCAAATTGTAGCATTGTACTGTATGTGGGGTTCATCAGACTTTTGCACCAATACAAGCAGAAATCACTCCTTTGGTCAGAGATTTTCTTTTTTTTTTTTTTTTTTTAGTTACTAGAATTATTTTCAAACGCATATTCTATTATCAATATAATATATATTTCAGTGATGTGGCTACAAACAAGTGTTTGATGTTGTGAACTGATGTTCAGTTTCTAAAGTTCTCGGTCACTGAGGGCCCTCAGTGTCTCATTATTATCGTTCTCTGTCATACAGTATATAGAGATGTCACTTGACTCTTGGATGTTAGATATAGTTCCTTGTCTTCCTGTCTCTATCTGGCTTTTGGACCTTTAAAGTAATTTGAATCTCCACTCGATTTGATTAGCATTGACTGTGGCTGCAGGATTGCCAAGATGGTTGGCACTGAGGCACCACAGCATTCATGTAATGGTCCATGGGACCGATTTCTACTGCATTACTGTCACATTATTTATCATTGTCCCGAGGAGGTGACTAGCCTGCAAAGTGATGTTGGCAAGCATCTTGAATGTGGTGATGTATTTAAAAACGAGCAACTAGTATATTCCCTGGCAGTATGTCATGGGCGTTCTGGTACAATGTGGAGACACTAACACCAGACACTAGCTGTGCTAGAGGTCATTTCATATTTACTGTACTTGAGCACCATGGAATTGTTAACTCGGACCACAGGGTAGCCTTGAAAACAGGGTTTTGTATGTGTTTTTGTTGCATTGTAATACATCAGGGAAATGAATGTAAACTTGCTGCCTTGAAGACAGTAGATCCAATAGATGTGGAACACTAGTATTGTCTTGGGAGTCCTGTTCTTTTTTTAAAAAGAAATTTTGACTAATATTTTGTAGCTGATTGCATTTCAGCTGTTAGCCAGTTATTTTTTCTACCTAAATGTCTTTTGAAGACTGCTAGCATCATTCATACTTTTCGTTATGCTTCTTTCATTGGCTGTTTTACAGTGCCTTAGATTTTGAGATTTAGATCTTGTGTTACTTATGTATCTGCGTTATATTTCACTTATATTGAGTGGCATTCATGTGGATGGCAAAGCAAGAATTTCATTGTACAGGTAAACATGTTTCCTCACTGTGCATATGACAATAAACACTTGACCTTCACACTGTTTTCAATTTAGAAACTGGTAAACCAGCTTGACTCAGAAATGTCTGTTCAGATACCTATTTACGATCATCTGCCTGTAGCTAAGACCTTAGATTTTGTTTTCTGATCACATGGGCACATTTTACCACAGTTTGCATGTGTCCTGGCTGATTGCAGCATCTATTATACATAACATCTGTTCATGTTTGCAAGTAATCGTTTTTGGAACAAAAAACTCAAAATTTTTTGGTTTTAATTTCCAACGATACATAAAAATCAAAAGGGCTGCCTTGTGACTGTTTGATGAAGAGTTGAAAAATGCCCTCTTAAAGAGGTGATCATCAGTGTGTTTTGGCAAGCTAATGCCAAACTCGGTGTGATGCAGCCTCAAACTGTTTAGACTTGGAGGATATCCAGCACAATGCTTTCTAATATGCAGGTTTGTTTATTCTCTCCCAACCTCGTCCAGTTAGCAGGGAATTCAAGGTCATGTGGCACAGATTCTTACTGCTTGGATCTTTGTGCCTGCTGTATTCACTGCTAGCATTCTTGCATGATTACCAGAATATCACAACCACTGCATCCTCACCTAAACTAGAACCTGTTTTTATGTGTTTCATCCCCTTACAGCTGAGGAAGTAAAGAGGCTGGCCACCATGCGTTCTGAGTCCTTGGTCTCTGGTACCCATACTCCACCCATCCATTGTCGGAGCAAGTTCGCCACTCTGGGACGCCTCCTCAAGCCCTGGAAATGGAGGAAGAAGAAGAGTGAGAAGTTCAAGCAGACATCTGCTGGTACTTTTTGTTTATTTTATGTTAATTTAAGAACAGAAAAAGATGATGAAAAAGAGAGTGCAGCATCAGAGCTTCATGTTTTGAGGTCTCTTGAGAGTGCCTATGATCTTGCAGCCCAATGTTTTCAGAGGTGAGTGAAGGACATGTTTTCTTTAGATGTGGCTGACACATCCTGAATTCTGCTGTCAGCCTGGTGGACAGGAGGAGGCACTTTTGTCTGTATCCATCTTCTCTGGATACAGAATTCTTGTTGTTGTGGATCATGAGCAATTGCTTGGAAACCTGAATGAGGTCTGAACAGGACAGGATGTTCTGATTTACTAATATCATTAAATTGGCATTTTCCTGGTGTGAATTTGCTGAATGAATCAGTGTCTGTCTGATTTGATCATGTTTGCTGTGACTGCTCTCATGCTGCTGATCTCTTATCACAAGAATGAATGTCATGTCTTCTCATCTCCATCACTTACCACAAGCACAAAACACATTTGACTTTTTCCTTGATGTTTTCTTTCAATTCAGCTTTAACTCTTCCCAGAGTGCTGCTTGGCTCTAGTTTGTATATCTGACCCAGCATGGTTCCACTTGCTCTTCAGTAGTCTCCCTGGACTAAGTGATATTTTTTACTAAGACACAGAAGTGCTGATGCTTGACTTGTTGATGTTTTACTGTACTTTAATAGTGTGTATTTGATGAGACAATCATGGAGATGTTGCCTATTCATTGGTACATTCACTTATGTCCTGTGATAACAGCATATCGCCTATTGTGGTGAAGAACAATCAAGTGTTGAACAGAAAAAGGGCTTTTTTTCCTATTACAATAGTGTAAATGCACAGTGGAGCTGAGTGAAAAAGCTCTCTTCATTGCTTTTGTTACCCCCTAGTCTTGCATGCATAAGGCTGCTGTCTCCAAATAATTTTTTGCTCCCCTTTGTTCTATTTAATCCTTTTTGATAGCAACATGATGATGGATTAGTACTTACCAGTATGTCTCACTGCATCAGCCTCATCGCATGCTGGATTTCTGCATTGTTTGATGTTTGTAGGTGGTATGCCATCTCGCAAGAGGCTCCAGTGCTCGGACGGGAGCTTTAGCTGCAGTGATACCACTACAAATGGGCACACGCTGTCACATCCATTTCAGCAAAGAAGCATGATCCCAACATTTAAGGCCCCAGATAAGTGGAATGCGGAGTGCATTATTCCACCCAGTTTTGCACTTTTATCTGCTTCTATTTTTACTTTTATTATTCATCCATTGCCCAATGACCAACTTACTCCATTGTGCTGACTGTATAGACTGGTGTTTCAGATTTTTTTGCAAGAAAGTAAGTCTGCCTCTGGTGATTTGTCTTGGGAAGACTTAAGTGAAGGGGCACAAGTTTATTGAGAACAGTGAGAATCCACAGTTTGCCACAACTCACCTAAAAGTGCTAGCCACACTTGCATGTTGCTGCTTTGTCTTGTCATGTAATTGTTGCTCTTCTATTTAATGTTTTCTCTTTCTGTGTGCGTTTTGTATGCATTTGTTATGTTTTATCTATTTGGGTGCAGTGTGTTAAGCACTTTGAATTGCCTTTGTGTATGAAAATTTGCTACATAAATAGACTTGCCTTGCCTAAGATAGCATCCATTAAACTATTACTAGTTTATATTAGTACACTTAAAGCCTGAAATGGGATGGCCTCATTTTGAAAGATATAAGAAAAATGCTGTCATATAGTATATTATGACCACTACTTACTCTAATTTGATTTATGGTATTAAAACTTTGCCAGCTGGAAAGCATCTGTGTGAAAACTTTGAGGCATTGTTTGTCATTTTTCAAGCAGATGTACATAGTGTATAGCTGCAGTGTGCTCTGATCCTGGACTTAAATGCCCCCCATGTACAGTCTTCTGGTTCCTTCAGTTGTCTGTGATGCCTTACCATTGATTATGTTTTCTGCCTCAGTGGGGGAGCACACCAGCCTCTGGGTATGCAGATCCTGTTGTAGATAATTGGGCACTGAGCACAGTAGAGGATTATGAATGTGTTGTGATGTTAAGCAGATGAAGGGCAGCTCTAGGGGACTGTACTCTTCACCTAGGAAGGAAGACAGCTGGATAGCCTATCATGCTCATTGCACTATCACAGCGAGCTTGTATCAGGAAGCGATCTCACTAGGCAAAGATTCATCAAAAGAACATTGTCTTACTGTATCCTCATTTTTATTTCTAATCAAATTAGTAGTTTTCTGTATGAACAGCAAATGTCTAAATGCACTGTTCTTGATGTTTATTAGACTAATTCCTTAAACAGATTAATTATACAATGTACGGAGAGTTTATATTAGGCTACAGCTTGCTGTATCCTCGGTGTGTGTCAAGGTCTCATTTAAACGTAAGCCTTGAACGCTTGGATTTCTTGTGGATAAAAGACTCCATGAAAATTGTAAAACAGTTTTTGTGAGGCTCAGCCTGAGAGCATTGCCTCAGTAAAAGCCTCCACTTTGAGCCAGTGAGCCTCAGGGTTGGTAGGAAGTGTTTTGACTATCTGGGCCACTTCACAGTGGAATATATTTCCTCTTAAAAAAGAAAAAACTTAAGTGTAGTGTTCTCAGATCAATACTGGCTATACTCAGATATGCCAATTTCATTTAATATGCTCTCAGCTGATCCTCCCTGATGAGTGTCTAATTTTCTCATCTTGATACTGATTGAGTGCTGGATTGGACACCACTTTGGGCCAAGATGGACTCAGTGCAGGCAGTCTAAAATAGGACCTAGTCAAATTTAGAGGGCAGCATCTGACTTTCCTATTCTGATATGAAATAATTGTTGGGCATCAGTGAAAGTTTTTTTTCAATGTACCTCAGCTGTGCATTGTATGTACATACACACGAATAACAGGTCTTATTGGAAATGAACAGCTGATTTACTATTCTGGTGATCCGGTCAACCAATCTCTGCATCAAAGTCAACTTTTTTTTTCTGTATGGCTCTCACAGGACCTTCCTGATGAAATTAACATGAAATTCCATTTCTTCTACACTATTAACTTATTTATCAAACTTTTTTGCCTAATGCAAGACCAGCCAGTATTTCACACTCTCTTCAATTAGACACTTCCTAGATTATTCTTTTTAGGACATATTGGTAATATTTTGACTATATACTTTTCCAAAAATGTTTTGCTGCTTAACAAATTTCTGGCTTGGAGCTGATCTTATAGGCTTATCTTTGATCAGTTTTGAAGCATGGAGTGATATTGAACATCTGGAATCCTGGATTAACTTCTAAAGGAGCAAACTATTTGATGATATCTTGATCTGCGGTGGTATTTTTGAACACTGAAACAAAGAGTATTAGAATTTCTCTCCCGGAGGCCTGCACATCAAACATTTGCATGACGTTCATTTGTGTTTTTAATTTCAGAATCTCAGCAGTTGGTTTTAAATCAACTGTGTTGTGACTAAGGGCAAGGAAAAGAGAGGTCAAGATGTCAGTATTTTCATGAATCTCATTTAGTCACATCCAAACTTAAGCCTTGAATGCTTGAGTTTCTTGTTGAAATTATACTGAGGATGTATTAGCATCGAGCACATTGCCTTCTGAGAGAGCTGAGACTCCTGATTAAAATGTAAAGCACACGTCACATTTATATCCTCAAACAGGAGCTACATGGGCCTGTAGGGATATTGCTTCAGCGTACTCAAGTGTTGTTGCTCATCCTTCAGTTCTAGAGTTTGAGATTGCTAACATGATTTTTACCGGCTTTCATTCTACCCAGTGACAGAAGATGTGAAGCACTTCAACTTTTGAAGCCTAAAAACAGAAGCGAGCAGTATCCCTGTGACATGCCATCTCATGCATAATGCATTTCTGTGAGAAATGGTTCTGGAATATTTCCTTTATCCTTGTTCAGAAGAGGAGTATGGCAGATCATTATCTTTATAGCAAAGATAATGAATTTAATGCTACTGTTCTCCCAAATTAAGCTGCTTAGGATAAATCAGTAAGGAACACGAGTGGTTTAGTTTTATCAATGAACTCAATCAATGTTTCATGAAAGTTATCAGAGCAGCTTGAAACTACAGCTACCACCTCGTGGCTATATGCTTCTGGCAACCAGCCAAGCTGCAGTTTACATGCATGTCTATCTAGCTTCCTCCCCCGCCATCAGATCCAGCTCACTGCCAGGTGGTGATCAGTTGACAGCTCCGCCCCTCTCTTCACCCAAGTGTCCAAGACATACTGCCGGAGTTCAGATGAAATAACCACAAAGTCGATCATCGACCTCCGGCCTAGGGTGTCCTGGTGCCACGTGCACTGATGGACATCCTTATGCTTGTGTTTGTTATGGACAAACTGTGACTAGCACAGAAGTCCAGTAACACAACACCACTCAGGTTCAGATCGGGTGGGCCGTTCCTCCCAATCACGCCCCTACAGGTATCACTGTTGTCGCCCACGTGAGTGTTGAAGTCCCCCAGTAGAACAACGGAGTCCCCAGTCAGAGCACTTTCCAGCACCCCTCACAGAGACTCCAAGAAGGCCGGGTACTCTGCACTGCCATTCGGCCCATAGACACAAACAGCAGTGAGAGACCTATCCCCGACCCAAAGGCGCAGGGAAACGGTGCGTGGAGGTGAGCCCGACTATATCTAGCCAATACCTCTCAACCTCCCGCACAAGCTCGGGCTCCTTCCCCACCAGCGAGGTGACATTCCATGTCCCCAGGGCTAGTCTCCGTGTCCAGAGATCAGGTTGTCGGGGCCCTTGCCATGGCCTGATCCACTTTGCACCAACCCCTTACGAATCCTCCTGCAGGTGGTGGGCCCACGGGGAGGACGTACCCACGTCGCTTGTTTGGGCCAGGCCACCAGGCGCTCACATTCAAGCCCCGACCTCAGGCCTGGCTCCAGGATGGGGCCCCGGTTGCCGGGGCGACATCACGGTCCTTGCTCTTAATTTTTCCATAAAGGGTTCTGTGATCCGTTCTTAGTCGGACCCATCACCTAGGACCTGTTTGCCTTGGGAGTCCCTACCAGGGGCATGAAGCCCCCAACAACATAGCTCCTAGGATCACTCGGGTACTCAAACCCCTCCACCACAATAAGGTGGCGGTTCAAGGAGGGGCCACAGTGCCTAATTAGATCTAAAATCGTCCACTGACAGCTCAGCACTAATATGAATAATAAAAATCCACTTCAAACTATGGTTCATAATAATGGAACTGTCGTCCTGGGGAACCTTTGCTACACACAGGTTTTATTAATGTGTTGATTTAGCAAATGGGTTGGCCAAGATTAAACAAAGAAACAGTTGCGTGATACTTTTATTGATAACCACTTGGAGTACATTATAAAAATAATTTCTAGCATTGTTCTCCTTTACCCCTTTAGCTCTGGAGAGGAAGATGTCGGTGCGTCAGAGCAGAGATGAACTGATCAAGAGAGGAGTGCTCAAGGAGATTTTTGAAAAAGGTGAGCTGTTATACAGTCACAGTCTGATTTAATGGAGCTGGAAACTGTCTTGGTTGTAAATGGGAATTTCAGAATGAGTAGTCATGGTCCACATAATTTGGATGTCTTCAGTTATTCATCTCCTAATTATTCAGTAGTCTCTGAAGTGCACTCTTCTGGTTTTGGCATGGGACATCTTGAGATATAATCTTTCATTATACACATTTTGTAGGGTTTCAGAAACTCTTTGATCTTGATCTGACATGCCTGACACATCTCAGACTCAGTGCTAGAGAGCATGTTTATGTCTGGCAACAAGGTGCTTCATGTCTCAGGACTTAAACTTCTCCTTGGTTTCAAGTACAACAGTGTTCACTTTAAGCATTATTAAATTGATCAAAACTCATAACTTTAATAACTATCTTATTTCTCCACAATAACTGTCACTTCTTACAGTGCATACTAATGAGGGCAGTTATGCTCTGTTCTCTTGCCCAGTGACAGCATAGTTTTCATAATCAAAGGCTTGTGTGCGCTGTTTGACAGATCATCAGTGGCTACTTCTATGTATGCAAAGTAAATATTTATAGGGCAGATGTATAATGTTATCAATTCAGACATTACCCTGAAATATAGATATAGTCTACTCAAAAACTGAGTCTGGTTCAGTGTTATAGATGGAGATTCAGCACAGTAAAAACTAAGAAACAATTCGTAATGGCAAAAAAGTTTACCTTTCCAGTCTTTGATTTCAATAGCTGCATTTGTGTGGTTTTGTGTTTAAAAGACTGTGTTCACTTGACATTTGGGAATAGGGGAGAGCTTCCAATGTAAATGCATTGTTTGTCAGAATATGTGAGCATTGTGAATTGCACTGTCAGCCTTAAAATGTGATAATGCAAAAACCATCAAGCGGCTCAGGACTGTAAAAGAATTACAAAGTTCTGCCAAACTGCTACTCAGACACTGTAACTTGGCCTGCTGTGTGTTGATAAAGGAGTCTCTGGTTGTTAAACAGTCTTAGCTTTCTGAATCATCTCCCTCCTACTGTCTGAAAACTCAACACCCTGAGTTGAACTTAACTTTGTTTGAACAGTTTTCCCTGGGAAGCCTCTTCGTTGTGCAGCTGAACGCTCTAATGCGTGTTTGAATGTTTATTTCCTCCCTCTGTTTTAGCCACTGTTGAATTCCGATCTTCAATAGACGGTGGAGTCTACACTCAGGAGCCATCTTTTAAGTCATCTATGGTCTTGCCTAACAAGAAATCTGTGACCTATCCAGGTGACCATCAGGACACCCCTGCCAAGCCGCCGCTGTACCACAAACAGCCTCCTGCTCTCCCTCCAAAGCCTTTCTCCTGGATCCCAAACCACAGCACAGGTCAGTTGTCTTAGTTAATGCTCAGTAGCAGGCTACACCACCAAAATGTGGTGCTTTCTGTCTGGTGTTTGGTTTTTCCAAACCACTGTGCCCTCATCATTACAGTACACTTTTATTTCAGTTTCTCAGACTGGTAGTGTAAATAAAATGCTCACATAAGATAGTGAGTACTTGTTTTGACAGCTAAGCAATGACTGTGTTTGCTTTAAACCCTACCTGCTTTGTCACATGTGCACCAGATTATAGTAGTCTCACTAAATCCCTCTGTGGTAAGGTCAGCTCTCTTTGTCACTGTCAGTCTGTCAGTACAGGGAAGTGGCATTATCCTGGCCTAATTCTGACCACTCTGTGCTGACGTCTGAGCCATGTCTCATTGTCCATGAGCTCTGCACCAACAAAGTCCAGTGGATGCAGGATAAATTAAACTAAATGTTAACTAATCCCTTTAGTCTGGTTATACTTTTCCTCCCCAGATTCTTGCCAGCCTGTGAAGTTGCCCTGTATGCCCAGTGGAAAGCACTCTCCTCCTCTGCCTCCCAAGAAAGTGATGATTTGTGTGCCTCCAGGAGGACTAGACTCTTCCACCTCACCTTCTCCATCCCCCAACACTCGCCCTCAGAAATGTGCCCCTTCCCAGGGCATGCCCTCCCTCCACGGCACCTTGTTGCCCTCTCAGCTCGCCGGTCTGTCTAGTCTTCATCAGAGCCATGGTCACCCGCTCCAGCTTCAGTATGGCAGCTTGCGTGCGCCTAGCCGCATCATCGAGGAGCTCAATAAAACCTTGGCACTCTCCATGCAGAGATTTGAAAGGTTAGTATCCATCAGTGCTCAGGTCATTGAATCTGATTGTCCTCCAGTGGAGTCAATGACTGTACATCATACAAAAGATTTTTTTAAAATAAAGAATTGTTTTCCTTCATTTGATGATTCTGGTTATAATGATAAAATTATTTTTTTGTTTTTAAAGGTGTTGCTAAAACAGCACTAATCAGGATATTTGCTGAGTCAAATGTAATATAATTAGCATCCTGTTTATTAGATTTTACTTCTTGGTGACATGTCTACTACTTTCAAATATATTTTGGCATTATTGGGTCATGTTGTGTCATGTAGCACTGATGCACAGGTCTAAATCAGCACACTGCTGCACGGGGCAGCATGGCCTAATTTTGAAGTAAATATGTGTGGACACAGGCACATAAAGTAAGTGTTCCTCCACCAGTTGGCCTGACATGACATGAATATAGCTGCTCTTTACAAGAGCTGCGTTTTTTTTGTGTTTGGAGAAAAGGGGAAGGATTGGACATTATATAACCTCTTACATTAGGATCACTTTTTGGCTAAACTCATTTGGGCAAAGAAAGTAATGGTCCTGACTTTGCTCACAATTAGTCTGAAAGCTGAGTAGTGGCTCATCATAAGAAGTTATGCTGTGATTTAATCATTCTATCAGGGCTCCTGCTGGGCTTCCATAGGAATGCTTCCCCAAGTTTTTTCCACATTTGACTTTGATAACTGACGACTCCTGAAAGTTGTTTATTCCTGTCATCTTGATTTGAGCTCCATAGGATGTGAAATAAGTTACTATTCCCTTGCTCTGTGTTGTTCAATGGATTGCATTGCATTGAATGTACAGAACTGTGTTCAGTTTTATTCAGCTGGAGTTATTGATCACCCCTCTATTTGTACTTAGATTAAAAATCTAGTATGTTCTTTAAGTATTATTTTATGTCCTGTTTGAAGGCCACGATATGTTAACTCCTGGAAATAGGAATAAAGCTTACCTCTCACACTAAGGTGGCTTATTTGAAACATATTAAAGCTCCAAACACTGCTTGAGGTTGTATGATGGAGATATTCACTCAGTAATTGACTACCATGAACCTGAGATCAGAGTTCTCTGCAGACCTCCCTCTTTCATGTTATTTATTCAGGATAAGACCCCAAACCTCCCAAATAACAACAACCTGCAGTTTATTGTGGCAGCTACCCCCTTAAACCCTCAGATGTTACAGTACTGAGAAATTCTAAACAATATTTTAATTTTAAACAATATTTACTCACTGTAAAAAGATGATATCAAGTTGGTGTCCTGATTTTTGACTTCACTTTGACTTCAGGCCACAAGTTCGTCCTCATAACATAGCCTTAAGCATGATCTATAATATTAATACTCAGATTTGGTTCATAAGCAAAATACACATCTGCCTTTCATGCTACTAGCTCTATACTGCATGGAGGTGGTCAGTGTGTGCCTCTGGACAGAAGAGAAGTGCAGTCTGTGATCACTGACTACGAGGATGACAAGGAGAACATGCCCAATGAGTCGGACTATGAAGACCTTCCCAGTATGTATAAGGATGAAGACGATGATGTGGATGACGATGAGGACGATGAGGAAGACGATGACTCAATATTTACAAGTGAGTGCCAGCAATTATGGTGACCTTAAAGCTTTTTGTCTTTAAATCTCACAAATGAACAAAAAGTTGAATACATACGTTTTCTCCAAGATTGTTTAAAGTTTTATCTTTAAGTAAAACTATGAGGGAGAGGTAAATGCATAATTTTAGACATTTATTTACACACTTTTGAGCTTCTATATTTAACTTTTGTATGATTTAATTTTTAGAAGTTTAATTGTGAAGTCCAAATTGAAGTTATAATCTGGGAGTTATAGTAATATATCCATGCTGCTCATCTCACGTTTTGACCATGGTGTTTGGGGTTTTAGGTACCCTGGCTCAGAAGGTGCTGCGGAAAGACTCTCTGGCCATCAAGCTGAGTAATCGTCCTTCCAAAAGAGAGCTGGAGGAGAAAAACATCCTGCCCATGCAGACAAATGAGGAGAGACTGGAATCTAGGCAGCAGATAGGCACCAAACTCACAAGGTGAGACCTGTGAGCACATGTAATTTTAAACTTGAATACATTTAGACACACACACACACACACCATTTATGGGCCTGATATCTTCAGTAAACCTGGTTGATGGTGCTGTAACCAGTTCAGCAGTAGCTGCTGGGAAACAGTGCTGACTGTTCTCAGCCAACCTGAGCATTTAGTCTAGCTTTCAGCTGACGAAAGCCCAGTATCCTGGATGACATAACTGTGATTCAGTCCAAAGCCAAGACAAATGTGAGCATTTTTTTTTTTAATTGAAACTCTTTTATATCCTTTTATTTTTCCTTCTCAACATCCAATGCGGATAAATGCTTTATCTCATTAAAATGAGGCACTGAAAATGGAGCTGACCTGATTTCAGCAATGCATCACCACCCCTCTGTTTTTCCTTTTCTTGTCTTCTCTCTACCACACTCTCACTCTCTCTCTCTCTCCTCTTTCTTCCTCCTGCTTGATTTCCTCCCTTGCTCACTGAATCACCACAGTGATGCATGTGCCAAACTATCTGCATCGACTTCTCCACACAAGTCATTTTGTGCCAGTTTACACACAACATTGGTGCACTATGTACAAATCACAGGAATTTGTACACATATGTTGAGATCATAAATGTGAATTCTAGTAATTGGACAGATCATACAACATCATGTTTTTCCCAGCAGATCACAGTCCTCATTTGATTTCACTCTGCTCTTTGAACATGACGTGCTTGTCTGATTGACGGGGATGAGTTCAGAGTGGACAAAACCACCAAGCATACGGGTAGAAATGAAAGCTCAGATAGTATAATAACATATGAGATGTGGGAAAATTGGTTGTCAGGGTGGGATGGGGTATTTGTATATGGAGACATTGGCACACAAGTCACTATTCCCCACTGTGACTGGAACACAGACTGTGTTCCCAGAAAGAAGGCCTGCCTGCTCAGTTGTTATGTGCCCAGAAAGCTCTGTCACACTGTCCTTTGCACTGTTATCCAATGAACAGTTCCTAATTTCATGCTTTTTTCCCAACGGTATTGTGTCTTGTGATGATGTTCCTTGTGCCAAACTAATCAGGGCTGATTATGATAATGCTATTCTAGGACAAGCTGACCTCAACCATCATGTATTGACCTATTTCAACAGGAAAACCTGGTGACTCTGTAGCTAAGTGGGTGACTGAATGGAAGAGTTTCCGCTTTTACCCTTGAGAAAGATGTTAAAAACACTACTATGTCTTTGGCTTTAGTTTGGGATTTTTTTTTCTAGCATTAATGTCATTTTTATGTCGCTTAAAGGAATAATGCAGCATTTTGAGAAATGTGCCCAAAGGCACTCGTTACCACTGTCATATCTGCTTTAATATGGAGATACAGCTGTGAGACACTTATCTTACACTAGCATAAAGACTTGGAAATGGGGAAGACAGCTACCATGGCCCTGTAGAACAAAAAAAACAAAAAAACAAAAAAAAAAAACATCCGCCTACCAGCAAAGCTCACAGATTAACATGTTACATCTTGTTTGCTTAATCGGTACAAAAACTGAACAGAGAAAATAACGAGATTTGGTTTTGCAGGGTGTTATGTGCACAACAATTTCTTGACCAGGTGTGCTGACCTCCTAGAGTTTCTGTTTTTCCACCATATTGACTTGTGGTGAGCAAACAGCAGCCTAATTACACATTTAGCAGTCAGATTTACATGCATTTGTTTAGTGTTACATATGTCCATTTAACAAATACAAGTCCAGTAGTTCCTCTCCTTTAAGATATGTTGTGGCCTCCCCCAGCTACTGAATAAATAACTGATTCTTTAGCTGCTAAATGTTCCACTACTGTATGTTTTAAGCTAGTCAAAAACATTTTCTGTTAGCCGCTTGGTGCTGGGCATGTAGCACACAGTGCTGAAAGCGGCTGCCTGCAGCTACTGAAAACAAGGGTGATGAGTGTAAGGAGAGAGCCAAAATTTAATTAGTGGGTGGTGAAATCAAAACAATGAGCCAAAAGATGCTAAAACTCGCCAAGCACAGACTTAACTCTGCATACAGCAGCTTACAGGGCTGAGCAGTTGCACATGGCTGTCAGCTCTAATGGGATGGAGACGATCATTGATCCAGTGTTGACAGTTTGGTCTACTGCCGTAGGGTCCTGACACTGTGCTATAATAAGAGTCCCCAGCTGAAAGCTTAGAAGGTCTCAGGATAACCTTTCAGAGATTGCCTTTGGCTGCCTTAGTCATTTCAGCCACTTACAAATTGAGGAAATCTGTGCAAAACATAAATATTCACAGGTTACATAAATGAAAAATGTGCTGGCGACAGTGTCTGTCAGTGTCTGCCTGTGTGAATTTTGCACAAAGTTTATTTTAGCACATGTACAAGTGCTGAAACCCTTCCGTTGGCATTTCAAGGTGTCATAATCACATTTGCCTTATTCAACATTAGGTGAGAGCCGAGTCTTCGGAAATGTCTGGCTTTTGCTGGCCTCCTTTCTCCATTGCACCAAAATATTAATATGCAGTCATTCAGTGTCTGGTGATCATGTCTGACTGAGAAGGTGTAACTGTCAAGCTGTCATGAGGCAAGAGGTTAAAGATGCAACTTAAAATTTTGCACATTGTCTGCATCAAGTGTGGTGACTCTCTTTGCTATACTGCCCCCCTGGAAGAGGGGGACTGGAAGAGACATTTTCTACAGTCTGTGGCAACGAGGCATCCATAGATTACTAGGAAACAAAATGTGAGGGAGGGTCAAAGAACAGTGGAGTGTTGTTTAGACAGGTTTTTTTTCTCTTTTAGTTGATGATTCCAGTGATTACAGTTGATGATGATTATTATTCTGAGTTTTATTGCTGACGTCTTCCCTGGGATTATGTGCTGAACATGGATGTATGTTTCTCACAGGCGTTTGAGTCAGAGACCCACAGCAGAGGAGCTAGAACAGAGGAACATCCTCAAACGTGAGTGTGTTAAACTTGTATGTATGTTTATTTCTAAGCTGTTAACTGTTCACAATTATGAATTGACTTTAACAAAAATGTCAAAATAAAATATTCTCTGTGTGATGGATCATTAAAGGGACTGTAGCAACGAATGAGTCAATATTTGTATCATCTTTTTGTGCCTGCAGGCTTCATACAGTGCAGCCTGGTTGTTTGAGAGGCCTAGTTATGTGAAAGCTAGTGACATAGATCTCTCTTATTATTCCTCCTTGGTCTGCTTTTCATGTCAGGCAGGCAGCAGGACTCCCTGAGGAGTCTCATCCAGAGAGATTGGTTTCTTAGCACAACCACATGCAGTATCAGAGAGAAGCAGTTCTGTTGCCTGAGACTCTGTGGCTCTCACATCAAAGACTGATTTACCAGCAGTTCCTGCTCTCTCAGAGGCTTCTGGATGATTGGCAGAGTGCAGGAGCAAAACACAAAGTCTAAGAATTCATGTGTGACAAGTCATGTCCACACCATCCCTCTCATGCATATAATAACAAGGTTAAACAGAATTGTATTTTCTATTTGTCTCCAGAATTTAAAACTACAACTAGTACTAGATACAATGTAGACGCAGCATATTTTCAGCACAAATCTGTTTTGTTTTTTATTGTGACGTAACATTGACTGTATGCGTGCCGCTGGCTGCACAGCAGCTTGCCCTTTGGGATGAGTAAAGTTGCATTTGACCTTTGACTGCTGAAGCCTTTGCACACAGGAGCAGTCTCCCAGTGTGATTCTAGTTCACTGTTGCCTGGAATATGTAGTATAAGACATGGAAAAAATTGCTGTAATTCCAGAAATAGGTTAATCACTTGATCATAAACATGAGCCAAAAAGCCCTGGGACAACTTGAAAGGAACAAAGCACTTGTTCTCCCATGATACCCATACCTAATAGTATTAAACAGCCAGTGATGGAAACTATTTAAAGCTTTGAGAAACTTTTATAGTTTAGTGTGAATCTAATGAGGCATATTATGCAACTAGCATTTGTGTCCCCTTTCAGTAATTTCTAACCATTTTGTAGGCAGTCCACCGTTTGCATGTGCCTGTACTCGCAGTATTAACTTTTATCCTCTTTTTCTCTTTGTAGCTCGCAATGAACAAGAGGAAATAGAAGAAAAGAGAGAGATAAAACGAAGGCTAACACGAAAGGTGTGGAAAATTGCTCCAAATGCTCCAAACACACAGTTGATCTTAAAGCACTCGGAGGCATGTGGGAGCTGGGAGTTGGGCATGAGTGGCACTGGCCACCGCAGAATCTGATTGGCCATCCCTGTCGGAGTCAAAATGTGATGCTTGTTGGTATCAATGAAAGGAAAACTGACAAATTGTTGCCTTGAATGCAAATAACATTTTTCTGGTGCTTTCTAATTTATATTGATCAAATTTGTTTTATTTTATAATCATGCATGCAGCATATTATTTGCTTTCATTTCTCCGGCTGAGTTATTGTGGAACAGGCTACTTGGCATTATTCACCTCAGCTGGGGGGAACCACTGTGCAGCAACGATGTCCCCTTGCTGGGAGAAAATAAGGAATGGGTGTCTCATTTTTACACAGATAAATAATTTGATTCTTAATTATGTATGCATTATTTCATAGCACAAGAGGTTTAATATACTTTTTACATGTATTTCAAATGTGCCACCCCTCTCTCAGTATGTGCTGCAGCCTAGCCACCCCATCCAAAATATTCTAGACCAGCCCCTGGTAGGAGAAGAAGAGAGAATGTGTAAATTGTTGCCCAGGGTTAAAAAAAAAAAAAACTGTGACAGTGACTCATCTGTGGTGAGAAGTGAAATCTAGTCCATGATTGGTCTGGTATTGTGGGTCTAAGGTCCTGGGAGACCTTGATGTCCTTGTTGCCCTTGGGCCTTCACCACATTGGCTGCCAAATCCTGCAACCCCATAGTGGTGTTGAGCATGTCACCTTCATTTTCAGTTAAAGAATAACACTTTCAGCTCACCTGCAGACATGCTGCTGAAAACAAAAATCTCAGAACTGTTGTAGGAATTTACTATATGCATCACATACCTTTATTGTATACAGTGTTTTGTTGTGAATTCAGCTATGCAGGAGATTACTTAATAGTTTGTTCTCTGAGGAGGGTCTGCGGGAACTGAAACTAATATTAGATCCAACAAATGTTCTGAATTTCCAAGTAGTGTGATCTTATTCTACTCTCTGATGCACCTCCACAAAAGTTACTTGATGTGCAAATGTTTTTTTATTTTTATTTTTTTAAGATTCTATTAGTACTTGCATGTATGCAAATTCTTAGAAGTTTATGATCATAACAGTGGCTATGAATACTTGACCTAGTTTTCTGTTCTTTAGCTCTTTTTCTGCTCATGTTCCAGCTGAGCCAGAGGCCCACTGTAGAGGAACTGAGACAGGCCAAAATTCTCATCCGATTCAGTGACTACGTGGAGGTGTCAGATGCCCAGGACTATGACAGACGGGCAGATAAACCCTGGACCCGGCTCACAGCAGCTGATAAGGCCAGTATTACTTATGCTAATCTTACAGTTAAACTAAGATCACCTTTTAATATTCTCAAGATCCTTCCATGCCTGCTTTCAACTTTCTTTAAATACAGTCTTGCTCCCCACCCTCCTCTGTGCCTCATATGACACAACCATTAATACAGGAGAATGTGTTCCTTCTCTCCTGTTACAGCAAGTTCCTCTTACTGTAGCTGTTGTTTGTGAGTAAACACCCCCGAGTAGCCTTGCTGCTCTCTGCCCAGCAGTCCATGCTTGTAACTTTTAATGAGTTGTTGATTTTTATTTTATTTTATTTTTTTGCAGAGCAGATATGCCACCTTATTTGCTTTGATGATGCATCACACCTGATTACCACTTATGAAACTCAGGAGGTTTCAACATTTTGATTATGAAACAAATCCCCTTACAAAAGAGAGCAATGGGACAAGCAGCGCCGCAGGGCCCTTTAGCACCAGCTCTGCTCTGCTGATATCCCACCACCCTTGTTTCTAGCACAGATTTAAATATTGTTTGTTCTCCTGTCACAGAAGCATCATCCCCAAGGCTTGAGATGTCCCACTGAGTCATGCTGAATGGCAAAAGCAATGACATTTTAGAAGCATTAAAGCTATTTAAAAAGGCTCAGCTCACCATTTTAGTTCCTGGAACTTTGTCTCATTCCCATTTAACAATTCCTTTGCAATTATCCTGCCCTTGGGCAAGGTCGTCAGCCCTCCACTGCTCCAGCGGTGCTACTTTGAAGCCATGACTCACTGGACATTGTCCGAAATGTGAATGTGTAGAACCTCATGAATGGGAAACAGCTTAGCATTGTCCTTAAGAACCTTCCCAGAAAAGATATGTTAAAAAAACCAACAACGAAAACTAATGTTCCCTATGAAACCCATAAAAATTAGTATTTGGGACTTTCTATCTAAACACTGTGACACCCAAATATGCAGCTATTTTAATGTTTTTTTTCTGTTTGTTAATGTTAATCTCTAATATTAACTGTCTTTGTAGTTCAAAACACAAGCTGACCATTTAAGTTCACCAGCAACAGTTTGTATATTATTGCTTAGGCTCCTACATGTTTCACTTGGGCTATAGAGTAGGTACTTTATTGATCCCACAGTGGGGAAATTTCTGGTGCCAACTCACCGATGGCTCTAACCATCGGGGGCAACTTGGGGGTTCAGTGTCTTGCCCAAGGACACTTCGACATGTGGACTGCAGGCACCGTGATTCGAACCTCCAACCCTCCAGTTGGGAGATGACTGCTCTATCCACTGAACCACAGTTGCCCCCTTAGGATGAGCATAAATGATGCATGAAGAATCAAAAAGGAGGTAGAGTCAGGGTTTAGAAGCTGCAGTTTGTATACTAAGCCTTTGCAGCTTTTTCTCAAGCTTCCTTGTTTTTCCTCTTTAGGCAGCTATACGGAAAGAACTCAATGACTTCAAGAGCAATGAGATGGAAGTTCATGAGTCAAGTCGCCATTTAACCAGGTAATGTGCAGAATTCATTAGTTTGCATGTGACATCGCATGCTTAAATATTACAAACACCTTGTATACAGCTGGAGCTGCTCATGTGCTGTAGGAATTGGCTATACAATGTGCACCAAGTTCTAACTGAGGCGATGAAACAATCCTTTTTATGTTTATATTTTTAGGTTTCACAGACCATAGTAGACCACCACTGTCTTGAGCAGTGCCAGACTGGCGCTCTCCTCCACTGAGAACCTTAAGTGCTGGACAGTAAAATGGTGCCCATTTCTACAATAAGGCCATGTCTTCTGAAATGCCTTGTCAAGATCCACACAACCAAGTCGGTACCATGCCGCAAGATGCAGACCCCCACTACACCATCCACTGTAGTAGCACAGAAAGACTCCAGCTGATTCACATCACCCCTTTGTGGAATTTGCTTGAGTGTCTTAAACCTCTCTGCTGAGCCCTCAGGCAGCTGCTCAGCTCTGCGGAGATTTGGACAGCAGGACAGTTTTTGTTTGTTTGCAAGTGACTGACACTTGTGACATCTTCTGAGGGCAACTGCACCTTGGTTCATCAATCAACATCAGTGGACATGTTTTTAACTTTCTCCTTTATTATGCTATCACTCTAGACTATCTAGCAATTATGGAGAGCTCTGTGCGACGATGCAGGGTTGACTTTTCTGAGCTCACTCTATCAGCAGGAGGATCCATCTTTACTGCATCGGCTGGGACTATGGCACACAGGAAGGAAGGAGGGAGGGGTCCAACATTAGAATCATCCGCAGTGATTTTTTTTCTTCTGCTTTTCCTAGACTATAGCACCCCCTGGAGTCCCCTCTGCATCATTACTATGTAGTTTTGATTTCTGTCCTTCCCGCTCTGGTTTTTGTTTTCACTATACTGACAACATTGTCATCTAATTGCTAACTGTGAATTTGGGTGTTTAGGCAATGCCTGCACTCTCTCCAAATGTACATTTTGTTTATACTAAGAAAGCAGAGTTACATTTAAAGAAAAACCATGCTTGACCAACTTTTATTTGTCACAATCTTATAAATTTAATGTAAAATTTGCAGCTGGCAGATGTATTCTGGTTCCAGTGTGTGCAGCAAATAACTTTTAGATTATTTTTGTCTGTTTTGAGTTGTTTTTGATAGAGAAACTTTGTTGACATCTCTCTATATGCCCCAGCTCTTCAGATTGATTGTTAAAACAGAAAACCAAGAGCTAGGCGCACGACATTATAATCTCTTATCTTTATTATTTTTTTGTTTGTGCGTTTGCTTTTTGTGATCTTTGCTCACAATGTGCATTGTCATCACTTTGCCTTTATACCCAAGGCATAAGCTTCTGACCAAGCAATATAGGTTTGTAGAGAAAGGGTTAAACTGCAGGTGTACACCCATCTTCTTCTTTTTTTTTTTTATTTGTGTGTGTGTATATATACTGTACTATGCCTCACTTCAGGGTTTTAATTTTCTTTTATACTTCACTTTAGGAATGCTTTATTCAGGAGGACCGTTTCTGCATTTTCCTGACTGAGCCACCTAAAAAAAAAAATCTGCCTCTTTGACATCCTAACTAACACAGTGGGACAAGATTTGATTCATTTCTCAAATCTGTAATTGAACATGATGATGCATTTTCAAGTCAGAAATATGAGTACTTAATTTAATGGATTTAGGATTCATTGAGTCAGGATTTTTATTGCTAAAATTCTTTGCACTGTTAAAAGTTTGGCTTTACAGTGGTCACTGTTTAAAGTCAGGACCCAAGTGTGTAAAATGTTGTTGGATTTCTGATCTTGGACTAGTTTATCTCTTCACTTTAATGGTGGTGTTACTCAATCACTGACACCACTATTTCAATGCTCATAAGCATTGTGTACACAGATTTTTTTATTATATTACTTTTAAAGTTGCAATATGTTTCTCTGATGAAAAAGATAGTAGAGGCATTAAGGCCACATACTATGATGCATCTCTCCGCACAGAAAATGTGTTCTCTCCCTTTTTTTTTTCAAGGTCTCGGCCAGTGATGGAATGGTGACCCGATAAAAGCTGGGAACCAAAAACAAAATGGTTTTTCCCTTTATGGTTTACATGTAAAATAATCAAGGTTTTGAGCTGCTCTCTTCAGAGTCATAGGCCATTCTCATGTCATGTCAAAATCAAATTTTAATAGGGTCATCTAATGTCAGAGACTTGGAAATATAGGGTATTTTTTGTCTTAGAACCAGCTTCTGTATGATTCCAGCATCACACCATTGAAACTTTTCATCCATAGATTTAGTACACTATAGCATAATAGGAATGAATTTATACAAATACACTACAGTTCTCATTTTCAGCTCCAGGAAACAACCTGAGCCACTGGGCTGATCATGAGGTTTTCCATTTTGCTGGAATCAAGAATCATGAATTCAGCAATAATCTATTTCCTTTAACGTGTTGGTGGAGCAACTTAACAAATTTGAAATTGTTCCTTTTTTCCATTTCATACAGAATATGATGTAAAGGACAACGTCATGCCAATTAAACTCCATTTCTGAATGCATGTGCATGGTATACATTATTATTATTTTGGAGATTTTAAATTTCTCTGTTTGTTTAGTATGTGTATCCAATTTTATAGATACTAGGAGATAATCACACATTAACAGTAACTAAACTTAAATTTCTTTAAGCTAAAATACTTTTCAACAAGTAATTTTGCCAAAAATTGTATTTCACACCCTTAATTATCCCCTTAGCCTTCACCACATATAGATAAGGGGCGACTTAGTCCGAGTCACTGTGTCCTCAACAGGAGAAAAGTTGGGTCATTCGTGCGGTTTGTTCCACTAGATGGCGAGAAACACAATAGAATACACGTAGACTGAGTCGAGCTGCATGGCCTTGTGAAATGGCGTCCTTATGAGATGGTGCTGAAGTTATTGCCTCGTTACCACTAGTTTAAAATAAATACACTTGCAGGGAAACTTAATTTTGCTGTACAACGAAATTTAAAGGACTTTTTTATCAAGGGGAATTAACCATATACATTGTATGGAACTAATTAAAAACGGAATTGTGATAAATGATCGCTCAAAATTTGCTCACATTCAGCATTGGTCATTGATCTACACCCCAGCTTTATTAAACTAGTTTTCTTTATCAGTATATTATGGGTTGCCTTTACCCACAACACTCCAACAGCTCCAAGGAGGAGCCTCCGTAGCTGCACTCCAAACAATTTATAGGAGCTATGTTTACGCCTCTCTTCTGTTCGCCGCTTCACCTGACTGAAACCGAAGAAAAGCTTCTTGGGAAATGTATTGTTGATCTAGGTTCTTTCCAAGAGAGGCGACTGTAGGACGCTTGGTAGCGCAATTCACTTCCCACAATCCACTGCGCTGTTGTTAGCGGCCCCCATCTTATGTCGTACTCATGAATATATATCTGTCAGTGTTTGCGTAGGAAGTCGCTCGACGTTCATTTCATATTCTAGCGCCGTATTTTGGTCTAAATGGGACGCACAGTTACGTCTCCGCCCTGCTTGGTTGCTTTGCGCCCAGCCTCTTTCACAGATTTTAATCGCTATGGTTTTCTTTTGGAGCGGCGGACGGGGCTCCGACAGGGAAACGAAGACAAGAAGTGAATGACTACTAGTGGAATAAGTCAGCATTACCGCCCAGTTGGCGGACATTTACCACGGTGTGCACGCATTCAGGCTTTTAAATGTAGCGGTTGTAGGTGTACCCAAGTGCGCACCGTTATTTATTTAGAGTGGTGGACTTTTTATTGGCAGAAATGGAAAGTGTGCAGGCTATCGCTGAGGATGGTGCGTCGGATGGAGGCGCAGCCAAGTTATTGAAGAAGCCCAGCGGACTGTCTGTCGCCCGTGGGACTCCAGCGGATGATGGCGGTGGACATTTGGCACCCTCCCGCGTAGAAGCGAAGAACGGGAATAGCTTTTCTCATTCCGTCTCTACAGAGGGCTCTAGTGCGTCAGACCGAACGGTGGCATCTAATGGACGGGGCTCTTCCAGCAACTCCAGCTCTCTCCTGTTGAGACGGAGGCGCTTGAAGAGGGATCTCTCCGCGGCAGGTCCTCGTCTTTACATACTCGGAGTCTGGATAGGAAGACTCTTCTGAAGCACCGGCAGAATATGCAGCTGCAGCCCGCAGAGCGTGAGTGGGTGAGAGCAGATCTCCACCGGGGCTCCATACATGTCCACGACAGACTGTCGCCCTCTTATCCCAGGCCGGTTCTTTGCACCGTGGACACCACAGCCGGCGAGGTGGCGCTCCGTCTAAGTAAAGTCTGCAGTAAGTCAAGCTCCGTTATGCGCATTTTTAGTAAAGACACCCAAAAGACTGATCAAAATGGCAACTGCAATGTGAAGTATGACTACAGTGGCAACCCATTAAAGGTGAACATGGACACAAGTACAAATTGCAACCACCTGACAAACCTGGAGCCCACAGAATTAAGGGGCCATCCAAGTGATAGACTGAGACTGCTGCTCATGGAGAATGCAGATGAGAGGCAAAAGCAACAGGACATAGATGAAAAACTTTTCACCCCAGAATCAGAGTCACAAGATAACATAACCTGTTCACTGTCAGATTTCAATTCTAACTCAAACATAGATACCACCAATGGCCTAGATAGCTATGGATTAAATTCTGGCTCAGATGTGGAGAGCAGCACATTTGATGATCTGAGCTCTGGGGCCCGGCTCAGCGAGCACAGGGACTCCCTCAGTGATGACATGATCCTGGGCACAGAAGCATCCATCCTCAGCCCTTCCTTCGACAGTCCCACAGAGGGCAACGACATGTATGGCAGCTCATCGGATGAACTGGAGCTTGACTGTCCTGCATCCAGCACAGGCATAGACACCATCTCCCAGCGTCACACCAATGGCATCACAGCCACCACTGCCAACTACAAGAAGTGCAACATGGGGCATTTAAACAACATGACAAACAATATGGGGCCAGATAGCAGACTCAACCCCCATAGTCTGGGCCACCTGCCACCCAGCAGCAGTGCCGGCTCATTGTCAAGAGCCTGTTCTACAGGTAATACACCTGACATCCAATATCCCGACTGTGGTCAAAGCGCTGGAAAATCAGAGCCGACAGCACACCACAATGACGGTTCCTTTAATTCCAGTCCCACACTATATGTTCAGCTGCATGGTGAAGCTGTCCGGAGGCTTAGTCCAGATGAGAGGCCTCTGCAGATCCAGAATGACTTTCTCTTTAAGCTTGGATTTAAGGACCTGTGGAGAGTTCAAGAGGAAGGGCTTAACACAGAAATTGGCTCCTTGTTGCGCTTCTATGCAGGTAAGTGAAATGATGCATTCAGATGTTATCACTTTCTACCATGATCGGCTTTCTGCTCATTCTGGGACTTACTGAGGCCTTTTTGTTTTCTCACCTATGCACTGTTTGGACTGGATCCCTAGTGTTGTGGTGGTTGTAACAGGTTGTTAACTGTAGCACAGAATGAGACATGAGCATTCATGCAGGTTGCACAAATAGGGCAAAGCAACAGTTTATTTCTCTCTGTGCTCAAACAGTTAAGTTTCACAGGAGAATAGTTTGAACATTTAACAAACTCTCAATACAGTACATTTGGAATTCTTGCATGACTGAAAAGAGCAGGCCCACATGTTCCTGATATTATTTCCATGCAGTGTTTGTGAATGCTGCCAGGCAAGGTGAGACCTTTGCTGATACCTGCAGAAGCAATTTAGAGGTATAAAGTATTTGCTTCCCAGCGATGGTTTACCATGTTGAGATTTAACTGTGCGGCGCCATGAATGGATCAGAGTGAAGTTATGGTTCAAAGGCAGCAGGTTTGCCAGATCTACCTTGCCTTGGGGACTTTTTAAATGAATAAATTTTCGGGTCTGTCTTTGGTTTGTTTCTTCTGGCCCTGACTGTCTTTGTTGAACTGCAGCAGCACACTGTGCTCCCATGGACACTCATGACATAGCCACAAAGCCATCGCCACAACTTATGGTGCTCAGACATGGGGCCCTTTCCGGCTTCTGTACCATTATCATCCTAATGAAAAGCCTGAATGCCTTTGTGGTTGGACAGAGAGTAGGGGTGGGAGCGGTACGGCTGGAAGGACCATAAACTCTCTCAGTGAACTCAGTGAATTCTGGCCATTGAGATGCTGCACAGCGCCTGTCCTTTTGGCATCCAGCGTGGCTACTGTCACACTAACTAACTGCCTGCCAAGCTGGGTTAACGTGTTCCTCCAAAGCTCAGGAAGCCCCTTTCTTCTCAATGCCACTGCCTCCACCACTGCTTTGCTGCTGAGAGAAGTGAAATGGGAGGGCTGTGTAACTGAATGTCTGGTGATGACAGTTGAGGAGAAACTGTTCAGTCTGAAATATGGGAAAAAAAGAGGCACTAGTACTCTGTAGGAGCCTGTTGCACTAGAGGTCACTCAGTGCTGCAAATGGTCACGTGCACAGTCACATGCATTTAATGACCTATGTGCTCTTGATTTAGGGCCTTTCTGCAGGTGATTTCATTTAGATAGCATCATATGACAGGCTGTGTGAGCAAGGGGCTCATGTGGATAGATGTGCATTTTTAGGAGAATATGAATCCTACATGAGCCCGTGCAGTCAGCTGAGCTCAGCCCAAATCAGGTGAACTAAGTCCTGATGCCATCTGAGGTCACCTGAGCGCTCTCTCTCCCCCCTATAGCTAATAACACCACTCAACGCCTAGGCTGCAGTCTGCACAAAAGACCTACTTCTCATTCAGTCACCCAGAGAAAGACACTGAAAAGCACCTTTATGCACACACACACAGAAGCTTGCTGTGTAAAGGGTAAGCAGAGCTGATGCCCTTGTGACATGTGTGGCCTGCTCTTCCACCATTTTCTTACACAGAAGAAGCATGTGAGGAATGTACGCTGGCTTTTCTAGAATGTCAGGCATGTCTGCTGAAGGGGTTTGAGGGCATACCGTGCTGACACATGTTGAGCTGACTCTGAATAGTTGTCCTACCCAGAGAGTGGAGATGAGGCCAGCTCCAGCTGACTTGATGGCTGACTCAAGCACAGCTGCTACAACTGTAGACCTCAGTCAAACTAAAGGCTTTTTGTCTGAGCATGAAGAGTGGCCTTTGATACAGGAAGTCCAGTATCTTTTTTTTTTATTGCTCAATAAGAGCACTGTGTATTTATAATACCATTTAACTGCACCATACCTGTATCTTCAACAGTAAGAGCAACAAATGATTAAGTCAAGGAGTTACCATGGTGAATCTTGCCAGAGCCCAGTTTGACTTTGAAGGGATCAGGTCATGTTTGAGTTCATAGACTCTGTAGTAGCCAGATGAGAGAATTCACTTTTCTCCGCTACACACACACACACACACACACACATGTACAGAAGGCTACCTAGATCAAAGGGCCACTGTCCTCTTTGGCAGGCTGATGAGTGATCCTTTCAGAGCTGCCCACACACAAGAGCCTCTTATAATGCCTAGCCAGCTTTATTGGAGTTTGAGTAAAAACATACACAGACTCATATGGCCTAATCAATACATGCACATTCTGTTGCTGACTAGCAAAACACCAGTACCCTTCCTCAAGAGAATTGGGTTTAACGAGTTCTTCTAACTGTGCACTGAGTCACAGCCATGATTTAATTGCCCATTCAGGTCAAAACATAGGGCGCAGGTGAGTGTCACTCTGTAATGGGGCTTGTGCTCTGAGGACAGGTGATCCTCATCCCAGCAAGTAATGAAGTGGCCCCTGCTGGGAGCTCTCTGTTCCCTTACCCAGAGGTAGTAGTGTGTGTGTGTGTGTGTGTGTGTGTGTGTGTGTGTGTGGACTTGCAAGAAAAGCAAATGGCATTCTCTACCCTAACACACAATGACACAGGGGTTCCTTAGAGGTGAGAGGAATTGTAGTTCTTTACTAAACCAAAGTAGCACACTAAATTATTTAGTTTCATTAGCTTCCTCATTTTGCAAACACTTTCTTCCGTGCACTTCAGCATACTCACAGCTTTATGTGAGCTCTACCCTTATTAAAGTTGAAATGTTTGCTTTTTAAAAGCAGTTCCTTGTAAATCTGAAGTGTTGTTAAGGGTTGGCCTGCTTTATGCAGTTAATGACCATTGGCCACTGGTCCAGAAACTGTCAAGACATTAATTCCTTTCGGTTCCACACAGGCTTATAGCTCAAGCTTCTTTGAAACAAAGCCAGGGTCAGTAACAGTCTCTGTGTGCTGCGTGCACCCAATTTTCAGGTAATTCCCATACTGTTTTAGAATCTGCCAGCAAGGTGAATGTGGCAGGAAGAACTGTTCATGCAGAACGAATAAAAACAGGTACAGCATTTCAGATAATATCTCTGCATTTATTCAACACAGCATAACATGTAGCCGCCTGAATTGTTTTTAATCTATGGACATTTATGGTAAAAATAATAGCTGTTATAATTTAGCCTCTCAAAATAACATGAGCTTCTTTATTTCATGTTTTTAATACAAAGTTTTATCTGCACTCCTCCAACCAAAATTTGATTTCATGCTCATTGCCTCTCTCCTTATTGGGGTCCTTGTTTAGAAAATTCAAATGGTGACATGTTTTTATTGATTAACTTGTTTTAATTGATTTGGGGCCAAGCTCTACCTAAGGCTAACATTGCACAGATCCTGAACTGTTGTCATCACCTGGTTTAACCCCAGAGCATCTTTAAAGCTGCATTATCTCAGATTTTACACATTGCTTGATAAATACAAATATTGATGACATGTGACAGATGTGCTTAATGGTTGACTTATAAAATAACCCCATTAACGGTATTACTAAATGACACCACAGAAGTCTAAACCTGTGATAAGTTTGAAGCCCTTTTAAAGTGTTTTATGATTATAGGTGGTTCATTATTCTTAGAAACATTAAAAGAAATCACCAGAAGCATGAGTAATGGAAGCAGATTGACTTCTACTGATGTTAACATTTTAAGAGGACAATGATTGCTCTCAAATATCTGAGGAACTTCAGCTGAGGTCTGTGTCTTTCCATTCTTACCTCAAGCCTTCTCTGAGGAGGCGGTGGCTGGTGACGTGACGTTGTAAAAGTCTCTGCGGGGTTTAAAGGCTTAATGAAGCTCCCAGCTTTCTCCCGCAGGCTCTGTGGCAGCTCTTAAGCAGAGAACCACTCACTGTGTCTTGCCTGTGCCACGTCGCTTTCTTCGTACAGTCAGCACGCCAGATTGCTCCCACACTCACACTTGCATCTCTATGAAAACATTTTCAGAGGCAGAAGGAGAACAGTCTGTGCAATGTTTGTCAGTGTTTTGTTGTTTTTATGAACGGTCACTCGTTATCCCGATAACAATATAAGGATCCCTCCCAGTAGTTTAATTTGAATGAATTTTGCTATTCAAATGAAGCTTTGACTGGTCACTAGGAATTTTAAAATTGTAATATTCAAGTGTCGGTTTCACTTAAATCTATCTGCTTAGTTTACCGAAGCATCTGCGGACATGCAGACACTCCTGGGAGATCTCTGCAGAAGTGAGGCACTAGGCTGCCTCATCCTTTCTCACATCAATGTCCTCGCCTGACAACTAATGATCTTTCTAAGGGCCAGTTGCTGAGTCATTATGTAATTGTGTAATCAGATTTCACACCTTCCAGAGCTCAAATCCAATACATGTGTCATGTGCGCTGAGGTTCTTTTGTGTGCTTGCATGTGTGCCCGAGGTAAAGACACACAGTCAAATAATTGATTTGTTTATTTTGTGTCTTGATGGAAGTGGTCGTAAATGAAATGTGGCCGTACAGCCTCAGCGCTGAGCCGTCTCTGAGCATTCACAAGTGTGCGCATTGTGTGTACTGAGGCAGACGTGGAGAGCATGGCGGTGTTGGCTTGTAGCAGTTAGAGCCAAGGGAAGTGTTTTGTGTCTAATTTTGTGCCTAGGTTGCCTTCTTTGGCTGACATCCTCCCACCCTCCTCTCACACCAAATCTTCCTCCCTCTCTCAATTTTGCTCATGATCAATCCCCCTCCCTCTCCACTTGCTATCCTTCCTTGCATCTCCTCCTCCCTCACACCATCTGACAGCTTCCATTTATCCTCCCATATCTCTTTAGCTCTCTTATCTTACTGCTTTTCATTCCAAGAATTACTGGTCACCTTCATAATTGTATTTAAAAAATATTAATAAAGGGAGAAAACAAA